AAAGTAAATAAAAGGTAAATACATAAATTAAAAAGTAAAAAAGCTTTTGTCTTTTTTGTAATATGTGAATTCTTAAATTGAAATAATTCTGTTTGACACAATTTTCAATTCATTCATGTACAATATCGTTCAAAAAAAATTTTTTTCTATACTTTCATACTTTCATAATTCATACTTGTATTCAGCAAGGACTGAGTAAATTGATCAAAACTGACAGTTAAGCTATTTATAATGTTACGAAAGATTTCTATTTCTAATGAATGCTGTTCAACTTTCTATTCATCAAAGAAAATGAATCACAGTTTCCACAAATATATGAAGCAGCTCAACTGTTTTCAACATTGATAATAATCAGTAATGTTGATCTTCAGCACAAATCAGCATATTAGAATGATTTCTGAAGAATCACGTGACACTAAAGACTGGAGTAATGATGCTGAAAATTCAGCTTTACGTCACAGGAATAAATTACATTTTAAAATATATTTAAATAGAAAGCAGTTCTTTTAAATTGCAATAATATTTCACAATATTACTGTTTTTACTGTATCTTTAAGCAAATGAATGCAAATGACTTGTTTCAAAAACATTAAAAAGATCTTTTATATAAATTTCAAACATTTTAACATTTATTTGCTACAATGTTTTGAATTAATTTATAGTAAATATGGTGTATTGTTTATTTATTTTAGTGTTCAATTATTAGTGTGATTTAATGATCTCTATTTCATTTGATGTGTGAATTCCTCTCGGTGTAGGAGACGGGCAGCAGGAGGGTCAAAACAATCAGATTCTCTACCGTAAGAGAGATGCTTCCTCCTCTTCTCCTCCTGTTGGACCTACATCGCCTTCCTCATCCTCATCAACCTCGTCTCAGGGGTCACCTGACCTCAGACAGTCAAAGCCTCATTTCACCCCGCTCTCCTCCGGCCAATCACAGGCGGCCGTGCGGGCCAGAGAGTTCGCCGCTGACATTTTCCGCCGAGCTCAGGCTGGAGCGAGGGAACACGACAGAAAAAACAAAGAGAAAGAAGAGACGGACACCCAGCGATTCCACAGCGAGGAGGAGCGACCGAGAGAGAGACAGGAACGAGACGCAGAGGTCCCGGGACCCTCGTCTTCCTCCTCAGGACAGAACCAAAGTTCAGTGCCGCCCACAGAGGCAGAGGACAGTGCTGTGTGTAACACAGTCATGTCTCCTGGATCCACCTCCTCCGTCTCCTCTCTGTCTCCACATGCTCATGAGCCTTCATCCTCCTCTTCCTCCTCGGAGCCTGCTTACGTCAACTACACCACTCTCAGATACAGACTACCGCAGGCCAGAGCGTCAGAGCAGCCGAGCGGTACGACATTTCTCATCTGTTCTTGTCATTACAGACACACACACACCCACCCAAAACTTGGAGTTAGATTTAGATTCAGAAACCGATCTGATATATTAGGTTCAGTGATGAATAAGAATGATTCAAACCAGTAGCTTGTCTTTTTGAACTGTTAATTACAAGAACCGGAGTCATTTGTTTATGAATCAGACTCTGCCGGACACACTGTGTTTTGTGATTCACTAAAAAGAACCAGCTCATAAAAGTCATTTGTTCATGAATCAGACTTTACTGGTCACATCATAAGTTTATGATTCACTAAAAAGAACTGATTCATAAGAGTCATTTGTTCATGAATCAGACTACGTCGTCATGCTGTGCATTTTTCATTCACTAATAAGAACTGATTCATGAGAGCCATTTTTACATGAATCGGACTATGCCAGTCATGCTGTATGTTTTTGATTCACTAAAAAGGTTCAACTCATAAAAGTCATTTGTTCATGCATCAGACTATACTGGTCATATCATACGTTTATGATTCACTGAAAAGAACTGATTCACAAGAGTCATTTGTTCATGAATCAGACTGTGCCAGTCTTGTGATATGTTTTTGATTCACTAAAAAGATTCAACTCGACTATTCTGGTTACATCGTACGTTTATGATTCACTAAAAAGAGCTGATTCATAAGAGTCATTTTTACATTAATTGGACTACGCCAGTCGTGCTATATATTTTTGATTCACTAAAAAGATTCAACTCATAAAAGTCATTTGTTGATGAATCAGACTATAATAGTCACATCGTATGCTTATGATTCACTAAAAAGAGCTGATTCATAAGAGTCATTTTTACATGAATCGGACTACGCCAGTCATGCTATATGTTTTTGATTCACTGAAAAGGACTGATTCTTAAGAGCTGTTTGTTGATGAATGAGACTACGCTGATCACATTGTATGTTTTATAATTACTAAAAAGAACTGGTTCGTAAGAGCCATTTGGTTGTGATCACACTACACCAGTCACACTGCATTTTCTTTTTGACTTACTAAAAAGAACCAACTCCTAAAGAATCATTTGTTTTCTGATCAGACTATACCAGTTATGCTATGCTTTTCACTCACTGACTCATAAATCAGACTACACCAGTTGCACCATATGTTTTTGATTCACTAAACAGAACTGACTCATAAGAGTCTTTTGACTGTAAATCAGACTACACTTGTCTGTCTCTTGTCTGTAGGAGATGAGGATGATAAAGTCCTGCTTCCTTTCACTGTGACGGATCTGAAGGGACGAAACTTGCAGCCGGTGACGGAACAGTTCAGCGGTCAGGTGTGTGTTGATCCCACACACGTCCGATGCTGCAGGGCTGTGTTTGATCTCTTGTGTGTTTGCGTCTCTCTCAGTGTGTGTGTGTCGAGCAGCTGACGCTGGACTTCGAGTATCTCATCAACGAGGTCATCCGGAATGATGCCGACTGGGGCTCCCAGTTCTGCTCCTTCAGCGACTATGACGTCGTCATCCTCGAGGTGATCCTTCTTCAGGAGGAGCTGCTGTGTTATGTGTTTCATTTTTGTTAGGATTTGTTTACAAAATGCATTAGTGCTGCCCTTTTTTTTTTTCTGTTGCGTTGGTTCTGTAAGTATTTTTTCCGTTCATCTTTCCCATAGGGATTTTTAAAAAGTCTTTGTTAAAGTGTTATAAGCTACGAGGAGAATCACAGCCTTACAGTATTTGATTTGAAGTAGAAATGTTTACTCCGCTGTTGCGCTCTATTGGTGCAGTGTTCTAATTTGCATGTGTTCTGCTGTTTCTATGGCAACAGGTTTGCCCGGAGACCAATATAGTGGTGATAAACATCGGGCTGCTGCTGCTGGCGTTCTCTAACTGTGAGGATGAGCACTGCAGGTACACACACACACACACACACACACAAACATATGATGAAATGTTCATTAATACTTTGTTTTCTGTCTGTGTGTGTGTATGTAGACCGAAGTCGTATCACTCCAGTCTGCAGGTCAGTTGGGATTTGAACACTGGAGCGTGCCGTACAGTCGGTGTCGGTGACCTCACTGAGGTCAAAGGTCAGACCAGGTAATGACCTTCGGATGCGTGGCCCGTGCTGTCTGTCTGTCAGATGTTCTCATGTGTTTGTTTCTGCCGCAGTGGAAGCGTGTGGAGCTCCTACAGGAAGTCGTGTGTGAACACCGTCATGCGGTGGCTCGTTCCCGAGAGCAGCTCACGCTACATCAACCGCATGACCAATGAGGCTCTGCATAAAGGTTTGATTTAGACACACATGAGCAATACACCTGCACTACTGTTCAAAAGATGTTTTTTACTTTTTTTTTTTTTTTCTGCTCGTTGCAGGTTCTTCTCTTCAGGTGTTGGCTGATAATGACAGAGGCACGTGGATCGTCCTGTGAGAGCGACGACACCCACACACACACTCCTCAGTGCTGCTCTGCTTGAGTGTTTCTGTCGTGTTTGCTGCGTGTATCCGTGTGATTGACATAAAGACACGTTTGGGCCGAGCAGATCCACGGTGCACAGCGCGGGACACTCTGGGAACATTTTATGAAACACGTCAGCGATCACCATCCCACTGCAAAACAGAACTGAACGTCTGTCTCTGTTACACTTGCACACTTATACACGCTTGTTTTGATGTTTGTGGAATGGACTGAAGTAGTTCTTTTTCTGTTTGAAAAGCCCTGTAATTGGAAAGTGCAGCAGGATGTTTTCGTGGACAGAAATGAGACGTTGCTTTGGGGCTCATCTGTATTTGTTTGCTTGATTTGTTTTAGGATGCAGTTGTTTACATCGTTTAGACCGAGTCATCAGCCAATCAGAAGCTGTCGACCCCTCCTGCCCTTTTTTAACACTAGTTGTGGCCTCACAGCTGGACTGGATGAGAATATTGTTTTTATGCAATGCTGTTTTACTTTATTTTTGATAAAAATGAAATATTCCTTCAGTACTTTACTGGTTTTATGACTTTTCATTGCATCAAAGTGAGCGGTGTTATTTTAATATGATTTATATGCAATAATAATGTTTTATCATATTTTTAATTAGCTTTATTTTTCAGCTTTCATTTGAATTTTGGTGTAGTATTTTACATTAATTTTGAAATATTTTTATTTAGTTTACATTTTTTATATTTCAGTTTTAGTTTTAATAATTTTATTTCAGTTCACTGCCAAGGCAACATTTCTTATATTCAGATTAATTTGTGAATGTTAAGTTTTTCCATCTAAAATGTATATTTTGTTTCAGCTTTATTTCAGTTAACGAAAACTATTTTTAATAGGTTTTAGTAAACAATAACACTGAAAATAAGTGAACTGCACGATTGTAACAAACTCAAAACATCGGAATGCGTCATTTTCTTAAAAGATTTTTTTAAAGGGACACTGAACTTCGAGGCACAATAATACAGATTTTTACATGGATCTCTGCTAAAGGTACACTTCAAATAAGGCCATTATGGTTTCAACAGTACAAGATCATAAAACTATATCATACATTAGCATAATCATACACGGGAATAATTTCACACAACTAAAATCATACCATTTGCAGCAACTCTTATAGTACAATTAAAGAAACACTGACATATATATATATATATATTCAAAAACAATATAAACCTGTGCTAAACTCTTACATTAGTAAAACAACAAACAAAGTTAAACCACTGTATGACTGTTTGACAGAGTGTGTGTGTGTATGTGTGTGCTTGTGTACCTCTCCCATGACAGAGATGGGCGTCTCTCCTTTGGCCTGTGCGACTCTGTGCTCGATCAGGTAATACATGTACTCGTCATACAGCAGTCTGATCAGATGAAACGAGCCGAAACTGGCGGCACTGCGCAGGGTCAGATCTCTGATCACCACAGAACTACAAAACACACACAAACACTGTGAGATTATGACGATATAACAACTAAAGACACTAAAACCCCTAACATGGCATCAGTTTTTTTATGGGCTTTTATTAGGATAGGACAGTAGAGAGACGACAGGATAGCATTGAGTGGAGAGAGGGGGGTGGGATAGGCAAAGGACCTGGAGATGGGAATCGAACTCGGGTCGCCTTGAACGCAGCTGCGCTGTATATTGACGCACTAACCACGAGGCTATCGGTGTCTCTGGACCGGAGCAGACTGTGTGCTGTGGCGGTTTGCGTGGCAACGCGAAACCAGACTTCATTCGCCCCAATGGAAAGCATGATTACACCGTCTGAATTGTTCCCTATTCCCTATATAGTGCACTATGTGCCATTCATTTCACCATACAGAAAATAATTCTGTGAACATGTGATCGATTTCAGCTGCAGCTTAAGCATCTATTTATAACATAGGGGGCGGGATGCTTCAGATTCGAGAGAGCATTTAATTGGACAGAAAGTTTGATGAGAAGCTGAAGTCATCAAAATCGTTAATCCATATCGGTGGAAGTGAGAGACTATAAATTTTGAATGCGAATTTTATCATTGTTTTGGAGCACACTAGCTTATAGATAACTGTAAGGCTAAAATATTCAATGATTATAAATATAATATAAATGATTTCATGGGGGCTTTAATATGCAGTGTACAGTGGGGAATAAGCAGGAATCTCACCTGTAGAAGCTCCATTTGAGCAGGAAGAGTTTGGCCACTTTGGGGAAGGCCGGGCTGCCGGTGTACGGCTTCAGGACCTGCGAGACGACCCCATCCAGCCATGCAGCCCACTGCTCCAGAGAGTTCTGCTGCTGCAGGGTGATTTTAAAGTCCTGCTCCAACCGCTGGATCACACCGTCTTCACAGCCACACACCCACGAGGCCTGCTCCTAAACTCACACACATATACAGTTGTAAATTAAGAACTGAAGGGAGATCTGGGGATGACAGGACATGAACAGAGCGAGCCGTGTTACCTGTACATTGGTGAAGTCGACGCGGTTGAGGTCGCTGAGCATCTGTGCGATCTGAGCCGTGTTCTGCAGGACGGCGCGGGCCGCCTGAGCCAGATGATTGAGAGATGTGTAGCGCCGCAGAGTCTGAGCGAACGCTCCCGCACACACAATCTACACAACACACACAGTGTTAGCATAAACACACCGAAAACAGAGGGAAATCAGAGGAGATCTGTGTGTGTTTCAGACCTTGATGCGGACCATCTCCTCCGGGATGTTGATCATGGCGTTGCTCAGCCAGTTCTCCAGACTCTTAGCAAAGTTACGGATGGCTTGAGTTAAGGCACCTACAGGAAGAGAGAGACAGAAAGAGACAAAATAAAGACAACAAAACCCGCACACACAATCTACACAACACACACAGTGTTAGCATAAACACACCGAAAACAGAGGGAAATCAGAGGAGATCTGTGTGTGTTTCAGACCTTGATGCGGACCATCTCCTCCGGGATGTTGATCATGGCGTTGCTCAGCCAGTTCTCCAGACTCTTAGCAAAGTTACGGATGGCTTGAGTTAAGGCACCTACAGGAAGAGAGAGACAGAAAGAGATAAAATAAAGACAGGAAGACTAAATTTCAAATTCTGCCAGTATGGATCTCAAGTATGGTATTTATTTACATCCACGGTCATTTGCTGCAACAAGAACTATAAGAAAATGTTGAGAATCTTAAGCTGTACGGAGTTCTGTTGAAGTGCATAGAGTTAATATAGAGTTTACACTATCTTCGTATGGTTGCACAGAGTTAAGCAACTGTTACTTTTTTTCTCAAATTGTGCATTTCACAGATTATGGAGTTTATAGGTTTATATCAAGTTGTATAGAGTGTGAAAAATTGTATATATTATATCAATTATAAATATATAAATTATATAAAGTTTTGGTAACTAGAGTTTTGTAGCTCTGTGAATAGAATTTATATAGAATTTGTACAGAGTTGCGTAACTCACTGGGGATGTTGTTTATGTAGAGTGGTGCAAACTGTATAAGGTTTTATAGGATTATCTCTTATAGAGTTCTTTAACTCACTGTGGATGGAGTTGATGTAGAGTAGTTCTCCAGACTCTTAGCAAAGTTACGGATGGCTTGAGTTAAGGCACCTACAGGAAGAGAGAGACAGAAAGAGACAAAATAAAGACAACAAAAACTAAATTTCAAATTCTGCCAGTATGGATCTCAAGTATGGTATTTATTTACATCCACGGTCATTTGCTGCAACAAGAACTATAAGAAAATGTTGAGAATCTTAAGCTGTACGGAGTTCTGTTGAAGTGCATAGAGTTAATATAGAGTTTACACTATCTTCGTATGGTTGCACAGAGTTAAGCAACTGTTACTTTTTTTCTCAAATTGTGCATTTCACAGATTATGGAGTTTATAGGTTTATATCAAGTTGTATAGAGTGTGAAAAATTGTATATATTATATCAATTATAAATATATAAATTATATAAAGTTTTGGTAACTAGAGTTTTGTAGCTCTGTGAATAGAATTTATATAGAATTTGTACAGAGTTGTGTAACTCACTGGGGATGTTGTTTATGTAGAGTTGTGCAAACTGTATAAGGTTTTATAGGATTATCTCTTATAGAGTTCTTTAACTCACTGTGGATAGAGTTGATGTAGAGTTTGTGTAGAGTTGTAACCCACTGGGATGGTGTTTAAGTCTGTATAGAGTTTGTGCATGTTTTGTAACTAACTGAAATGGTGTTTGTGTAGAGCTGTGTAACTCCCTGGGGATGTTGTTTACATGAAGTCTGAATAAGTACAAGGTTTTATAGGTTTGTGTCTAATAGAACTGTGTAACTCTCTGTGGATGGAGTTGATATAGAGTTTGTATAGAGTTGTAACACACTGGAATGAAGTGCATATAGAGTTTGTGTTGTGTTATAACTCGCTGAGTTTATATGAAGTTTGTATGTAGAATTTTGTAATTCATTGGGGTTTATATAGCATTGTGTAGCACAGGAAGATGAACAGTTGAAATTAATGGAGTTTATATAGTTACTGTAGTGTTGTGAAACTTACTGTGCATTTTGTTTAAATGGAATTGTATAGAATTTTGCATAGAGTTTGTATAGTGTTGTGTATCTCCGGGAGGATGATGATTATATATAGTTTACATAGCAAATTTTGTAACTGTATGGGACAGAGTATATATGGAGTTTGTGTAGAGTTGTGTAACTCACTGAGGATATTGTTATATATAAAGATTGTCTGTAGAATTTTGTAATTAATTGGGTTTGTATAGCGTTGTTTAAAGGATGGTGAAGAGTTGCAACTTACTGGGATGGAGTTTATGTAGTTACCGTATAGAGTTTCTATAGAGTTTGTGTAGAGTTGTGTCACTCACTAGGATGTAGTTTCTATAGAGTTTATGTAAAGTTATGTAACTCACTGGAATGGAGTTTATATAGAGTTTGTGTAGAGTTGGGTAACTCACTAGGATAGAGTTTATTTAGTTATAGTATAGATATATGTAGAGTTGTGAGAACTCACTGGGGATTGGTCTCAGAACATCAGGGATGAGGATCTCCACTAGGTTTTGGTACAATAAATTGTCGCATTCGCGAGCCCAGTTGAGGACGGGCTCATATTTACACAACAGAACCAGAACCAACTTGGGCAAACAGAGTTCTGAGAACTCACTGGGGATTGGTCTCAGGACATCAGGGATGAGGATCTCCACTAGGTTTTGGTACAGTAAATTGTCGCATTCGCGAGCCCAGTTGAGGACGGGCTCATATTTACACAACAGAACCAGAACCAACTTGGGCAAACGCTTCTCTGATTCATCATGACTGTAGAGACAGAGACATCAGTGAGACACAACACAACATCACAACACTTGTGACTGTAAAAAAATTGACTTTAAGCCAATGTGTCTCACAGGTCGAGTGTATCCGTGTCGCTGCTTTGTCCTTCACTGAACCTCCAGAAACTCTTCCAAAGCGTCTCCACAAGAGGGAACTGCAGGTTTACCATCACGTCCAGAATCGCCTATAAACACACACACACACACACACACACACATATTAATCACCAAAACACTAAAATAACCACACATCTGACATCCAGCACACACACTCACCTCACAGTGCTCTCTGTAGATCAGCTGATATGTGTGTACGTGTTGAGGATGGAGTCCATCTGGCAGAGGTTTACCCTCATCTTTGAGCTCAGGGAACTCCGGCAGACTGCGAGACGCATCTAAAACACACACATTCAAAAAGTTGATGTAGAGTAATATTATATGTCCAAAAGAGAAAGCTGCTTCTACATTTTGTGTTTGTCTTACCTAAAAACTGCTGATACTGGTGAACCTGGGCGCTGATGTCGGATAGCCCCGCCCCTTGTAGATGCCCCACCCCCAGGCCCATTCCATTGGTCAGTCCCTCCAGCTTATGCACAGGCTTTATCCTATATCAAGAGATGAGGGCTATGAGTCAAACTAACAACAGCAAGTGATCAACAATACACAAACTATAAATACACACACACACACACACCTCTGTTTCTGTGAGTACGGCTGTTGTCTCATGGCCAGGTGTTGCTGGTCCTCCACCAGTCTGTGCAGGGGGGAGTTGCTCTTGATTCGAAGGCCATAGTAATGGTACTTAGAGTTCCCTCTGAAACACACGCACACACACACACACACACACACACACAGGTGTTTTAATATTAGCCTGTTCTGTTATTTTAGTATCATTCATATACTATTATAGTTTTTGTTAATATTGTTGTATCTCAAATTAGCATATATACAATTTATTTTAAAATATTCTAGCAAATAAAAAAAAGTGCTGCACAACATGATGCAGTCACAGCTAATCAGAACACATTTAATGTTTAATGCTCAGGTATGTGGAGCAAATTCTGGACCAGAGATTTTACTGTGGGTGGAGCTACCCAGTACAATGAATATGCAAATAAAGAAAAATGGTTCATATTGCTTGTTGAAGCTTTATTGTACCTGGTGCCGAGACGTCTGGTCCTGAGGCCCATGAACACGGAGCGGATGAGTTTGCCAAAGGAGGCGGCGTTCACGGGTTCCAGCTTGGTCTGCTGGCAGTGCAGGAGGTAATGACAGTAGAGGGTACAGCGAGGAAGACTCACACCTTCAGCTGTCTCGTAGTTATCCATCAGCCACTGCACCTGAGCACAGACAGGAGACAGACGGCAGGTGTTAATTGACTTACTATCACACAATCAAAAACTCCTTTTTTACCTGTTTTATGGGTGAATTCAGTGTTTATTTTCTGTGTATTTTAGCATTGTTTATATACTATTATAGTATTTATTAAAAAAAAATGTATTAGCTTTATTTTTATATTTTCAGTTTTAATTTTTGTTTTAGTTTAAGTTTTAGTCATTTTGTTATGTGCTATTATTATTATTCTATTATTTTAATATTTTGCTATTCTATTATTTTTTCTATTATATTTTATTATTCTATTATTTTAATATTTTGCTATTCTATTATTTTTTATATTATATTTTATTATTCTATTATTTTTTTATTATTTTGTTATGTGCTAAATTATTATTAGTAATTTTAGTACTTAAACTTATTTTATTTCAGTTAACCGCCCAGGCAACACTTCTAATTTTCATTTAAATTTCTAAAAAGTTTAAGTTTTTCTTCTAGTATTTCATTTTATTTCACTTTATTTTATTTCAATTACTAAAACTAATTTTAGTCAACAAAATAACAATACTGGGTGAATCTCTTTGGGTGAAACTCTGAATCATCATTCAAGAAAACAAATACACTCACAGTCGCGGGTGATGCGCGTGTGTTGTGTGAGAAATTTTGGTTCCCTCCACCGGCTCCACCAAACATGTACCCGCCCTGAATCACATAACCCCCCGCCCCTCCGCTGGTGACCACGCCCCCTGACCCGCCCACTCCTGACGAGGACCCGCCAGCCACCACGGTGATCCCCGAACTGCCCTCTGAGAACATGGAGACCACCCCTGTGCCCATCCCGGACGTCACAGACACAGGCTGAGTGCTGGCGGGGGACGTGACCTGTGAGCCGGTGGTGGGCGAGGTCTCATAGTAAGTGACAGAGGGCGTGGCCTGGGAGTAGAGGGAGGGGTCTGTGAACTGGTAACTACTGGAACGACTGAAAAAGGAAAAGAGAAGAACAAGTACAGAGAAAGGTAAACGTTTCAGGAGTAAAGAGAAGCTAAATATACACCACAATCACTGTGTGTGCTGATGCTCACATTGCAGTATTGTTGTAGTTGGCGTCTCCCTCCACAAACTGGCTCGGGTAAACATGCTGTACAGGAACCTACACACAAACAAACAGCAGTTTCACATCAGACTCTTAAAAGTCAGTTAAGAGTCAGGTATGAGGGGACACATCACAAAGCATGTCTATATAATGTCAAATCTAAATCTTTACTTAAATATATTAAACTAAACTTTACATTTTAGTGCTGATAATAGTTTCACACAATATATAAACATACAAACAATATACAGACACAATGTTCAATGTTCATTTGCACCTGTAAAAAACTAAATTTACCAGATTATTTCTCATCGGACATCTGAGACAACAGAATAAAAATATTATAATAATTAGACAATTACAATTAAATGATTATGTAAAATTAAACTATGTAAACTACGTAAAATTTGGAGGAAAAAAACTTGAACATACAAACATATATATATAT